TGGTGTATATACATCGCAATTCATTTTCCAATTTACCCACGTTTATCATGGGGTAAAATTTGGAGACAGTAGCCAACAAATGGATGGGAAATTGACGTGCAAATTTTGAAAAATTTTTGGGGTTCATCAAAGAGAACGCGGCAAGGTGTTCAGTGCGAAGACGATCGCCTATTTGATTCACCAGAATGTCACAGCATTTCTTCGCAGACAAAATCAAACGCTGCGTTGTTTGCCCGCGGCGTAAAGAAGCACTCCATGTGTCGTCGTATTTTATTTTTTCCTGGATACGAGATACAGCATCGCAGAAGTCTGAAATACACGACTGCACAGACGCTCCATCCATTAGCCTTGACTGCAATGCGCCGTATAATACATCCACGTGATAGAATATTGTGGAGAAAAAATGAAAACTCACCATCTTCTAGCAGACGCTTTAGACCTGCCGCCTCCCTCACAGAGCGTTCGTCCCAAACCGGAGAGCTCTGAATGCCATTGAAACACTCAATGAGCTCATACCTAATTTCGGACACGCCCTGCACCACGCGTGATTGGAAGTTCCAACGTGTTGGTGCACAAGCTGGGAGACGGCGGCTACATATCTGGCGAAGGAGGTCAGAGCACTTCGGCGAAACGGAAAAAAATGAAGAAAACCCCGAAACATTTGCAAAAAATATACGGACGAGAGGGGTATCAAGACAGATATTTTTAATAACGAGGTTAAATTGGTGTGCATAACAATGTAAAAAATGCGCATGAGGAAAATCTTCTTTTATATGAACTTGAACAACATGTTTAGACCCACTCATGACTGCCGCGCCGTCATAAGTTTGAGCTATCAATTTTGACCTCGCGTTGTAAGGCTGATGTAACACTTATTTCAGTACAGCCGATATCCCGCAAGCCGTGCGATCAACGATTGGTACAAAGCTGTGAAATCTCTCGGTAGGTTTACCATCTCTCACAAACCGAAAATCACAGCCAGTTGGGAAACGCACGTGATGTCAGTTGTCTCGTCAGACTGAATCGAAAAGAACTGGCAATTCTCAATTTCCAGAGCCAAATGTTGTAAATAAATTTTATACATTGAGTCGAGCAAATCATTTTGGATAGCCTTAGATGTCCCTTTCGAAACAGTTGCGGCATCAAGATGATCTCTCAATACTGTATCTAGGGATGCGGTGTATTCCACCATATCCAAAAATTTCCCTCTATTAGGAGAGCCAGCCCGTTCATCGTGCCGACGGAGGGACAGCTCGTGACAACCAATGAACTTCAAAACATCTATCAATCGACCGAGAACATGGCGGTTTTTCTCGACGTTTTGGTTGTGCCGACGAATAGAAACCGCGCGTCCTTCATCTAACTGTGCTGCAATATTAACATTTCCGAATGTTCGGTATTTTACTGCATTGTCCAGATGCTCCATAGAAGATTGATGATCCCTGGCACGCTCGGAAAGATGTTTAAGATCTCTAAAACCAAATTTACACCAACGTGAGTCACGGGCGGTAGCAAAAAGTAGGCAATAAAAACAAAAAAGTGCATTTTTGTCCTCGCTGTAACACAACCATTCGTGTTTTTTATACCAAGTTTCTGCGCAGAATGTACGTCGACGCTTTCCTCCGTCATGGGATTGTTCCAGTGAACAATTTTTTAGTTGATAAGGCCCAAGACGTTGTACCTCTAATTTTTGTTCCAGCGGCAGCTGCGAAAACGGAGTGCGAAGTAGTGCATCAACCTTATTCATTATGAGGTCTAAGGCTAAGAAATGCGAAGCCGGAAAGAAGTGAGGAGCTCAAAAGGAATGTGGAAAATCGAAAGAAAATGGACTAAAGGCGTCGGCCCGTCGACGTTCGTCGAAGGCTTTGCGAGCGAAAAATGAACCATGTCGGGAGAATATGGCTAGTGTAGACAGTCTGTGCAACCGATATTGAGGTATTTTTCGAATATTTTTCATTATACCGAAAAAACAACCGGGGCATTGCCCCGGTTGGCCCTATTGACGCGCCGTCACTGCGTAAATGCTCGTTTTAACGCCCGGTCTTGATTAAGGGCCCGTTTGAATAGCCGCCCGTGTGAACAGGACATAAAAATAAATAAGGGCCGGTGCTTGAATACCCGCACGGTGTAAAAGTTTTTTTTTTTGCTGATTTGTACCTGCGGTGCGTAGAAAAAGTCAAAATTTTCATTATTCTCGTTTAAATCATACTCGAGAACTGGAAATGACAATATACGGTATTAATTATTGTAACGATCGATCTTATCTACCGGTATTTTTGTGTGTAATTTTACTTTAAAAATAACAAGCGCCCCTGCTTGAATAAGGGCCCGGTTAGTGAGTATGTTTAAAAAAATAAGCGCCCGAGCTATTAAACGAGCAAATACGGTATCTTGGATTTCGAGTCACTGATGAATCCGTTCCTATCGCCCAAGCGCGACACACGGTCGAGTGTCGGGTGGTATTTTAGTCACGATAAATTAAAAAAGTTGCGATGATAACCGGAAATTAAAATTTGGTAACAGAAATGAATTTGTCTCAAGACGTTATTTTATGAGTTTTGCTAACAGAAGCAATCGTTTTCTGTCAAAGGCACAAGACAAAAGACATTCAAACAATATATAACGATATCATACCCGTCCGATAACCTACACATCTTCATTAGACATCGGCTACAGCCAGATAGCTGAGGACTGCACGCGCTACTATATCGCGTTGAGAAAATACCATGACGCATCACTCAAGCGTAACGAGGGAACTGTATAACATAAATGAACAAAGACGAAAAAAGCGTGAGCGAACTATATTAAGTTGACTATGGTTCATCATTGGTCCAGTGTTTGATCACAAATCCCTGCTGGCTCATGCTGTAGAAAGTATAAGAAACAAGAGAGCTATGCTCAAATATATGGACACGTAGAGTCACATAATTTTGATGACGTCATAGCGAAAAAAAAAAAGTAATAGCCTTCTGAAGAAAATTTTTATCTTTAACCACTGAAAATTTCAAAGCAATTGGTCCAGTATTCGAAGAGAAAAACGACTTTTTAAAAAACGTGTCAAAGAGCAACAACAACAACATAATATTGAAACGATCGTTATGTCCACTACGTGTCCAAAAATTAGTCTGCACAGAAATAGCACACATTTCTTCGCTGGGTTTTCCAGTTTCCCCCTTGTGGTGGAGTCTAGAAGAGTAAATATCTCATAACAGGTATAGAAAGGTCTGCGTTGCTTTTGTAAATAAAGTCCGACAATGGAAGAGGGTTAATGTATGTTTGTTTGTTTGTACCGGTATGTATGTATGTTTATTTGTCTCGTAATAGTGATAAATAAATAAATGAACCATTATTATTATTTAAGACGGGATGCATGCACAAGACCTGAAGACCATACTGGTCTAAAACACAAATGTGCGGCATGCACCCTTTTTGACGAATATAAAACAAAAAACATTAGATTAAATATGTATAATATGGTCCAGTTGTGCAAGGTGGGGCAATCCAATGGGTCGTTTGGTGTGGGGAAATTGGTAAGGGATGAAGGGTGGAGTATACAAAACTGTTTATACAGAGGAGTTTATAAGACAAGACAATATATATAAATAGAGACAACACAACACCAAATAAACATATACGGTACCGGTACATAACAATGAAATCAAAATTTAGGCGCAAATACAAGCAAGCAATAAGTTTAAGCAATATGTTTGTGTTTTTCTGTACCGGTACCGTTACCGCATTTGGATAAATATTACATGTCCTTAAATTTATAGTCATAAAAATATTGTGAAGAATACTGCGTTACCGTACCTACCGGTATGTGTACGAGATATTTTGTGCTGTGCCTTACTCGGTGCATTGATGTCAGAGTGAGGTAATGAAAATTCTACAGTCATATCACTCATATTCAATGGGATCACAATTAGCCATTAAATCGGTTTGCATCAGATATTCAATTCTTTTCTCATCTTTAAAATTTTAGAAAAGCCGAAATTTTTTACGCAGGTGGTCAACATACCGTACAGATATAGCCAACATGTTTTTCGGGGTCTGGTATAGTTTAGTACCACTTCTGGTGGGCGTAGCATAACGAATTTTGTATATGTTATTCCCAAACCCCACCTGACTGTGTCATTCAAAAATTACGTCACTACGACGTTACAATCCCGTCATAGAGCTTGCCAAAGTAGGTAAAGCTACGATCACCCGGAACGTCATTTGTGCTGCCGATAATAACGAACCAACTAACGCCAGCTATCTCTCTCATATCGGGGTCATTGCTACGAGAAAACGAGAGACATATCTTGCTCGATTTCGGGTGATTGTCTGCGCGCTTTGGACGATCATCCGTATACTTTGGAGGGCTTTATCACGCCACCGGGACTTCATAGTGACGTAATTTTTTGGTGACGTGATCAGGTGGGGATTAAAAATGACATAATCAAAAATTGTGGTCTGGTATAGTTTGGTACCACATGCACTTCTAGTAGGCCTGGCTCAACAAGTTTTGCATATGTCATTCCTAACCCCCACCTGACCACGGCACCAAAAAATTACGTTATTTACGCCGTCACAGTGACGTAATAAGGCTCACTCGAAATCAAGCAAGCTAGTCTATTTCTCTCGTTTTCTCGTCGCAATGATCCCGATATGAGAAAGATAACTATTAGTGAGTTCGTTATCAGCGGCGCAAATGCCATTTCGGGTGATTGTAGCTATACTTTGACAAGCTCCATGACGTGATTGTGGAGTCGTAGTGATGTAATTTTTGGATGGCATACTCCGGTAGAGGTTAGGAATAACATATGCAAAATTCTTTATGATACGCCCACTGGAAGTACTTGCGGTGCTAAACTATACTAGACCCAAAAATTGTTGAGCCAGGCCAACTGGAAGTGCATGTGGTAGGCTACTAAACTATACCTGACCCGATTTTCAATCAACAGCTTCGTACCTATTTTTTCATTTAGCCCAATTTTTATGAATGATAATTTAGCAATTTTGTTTACTTGAGTGATCAACATGCACCATCATTGGTTATCGGTACCTCATGTTTACTGTAACACGATTCATTTTAGTATCGATAATTATCAAAGCCACCTGGACTGCTACTACAGTACTATGTCCCCCCAAAATGCTGTAATAATCGAACTGTAATTTGATTGGTGACAAAGAATCTAAACCTGTAAACTGAATGCCATTTTTGTTTCCATGTGGGATTGCTATATTGATAGTTAGTGATTTGAACTGCTACTGGATCTCTATTCTTCTCATTAACATTACATATGAATCATGAAAGTATGCGATATTTCCAAATCTTACCATGTTTATATCCTATTTCTTATTAGTATTTTGAAGAATTGAAGTTGTGGATATAAATTCAAATCTGAAAATGACTAATCCAGTTGGACCTTTGAACATGAGAGCTGACTGGGATCAAGTTGGTTCATCAGAACGGGAAAAGAAGCTTGTTGTAAACAATGTTCTTACGTTTATGTCGAACAAGATTCATGAAATTCAACGTGGAAAACTGATAGACATAATAATGAAACATAATTTGTTTACTGATGAAATGATAAGACAAGCTAGAATAGTTCTCTGGGCTCATTGTGCACCAGAGTCATGCGGATTTAACAGAGAAGGCTTACAAGTACGAAGGGACAATATTGAAAATATGTTCAATCTTTTATCTTTACTGAGCACAACAAGAATGAATGTCAAGTTCGTAGCAGACGATATTAATGTTTTTCCAGCGATACCACATGATGAAATGAATGATGTTGATATATCGTCACTTTTTGACTCCATCGCTGGTCTGCAGGCTGACTTGTCATCAGTTGTATCAACATTATTACCAATGCAGGAAAAAATATTTGAGCTAGGAAGAAAAGTTACAAGCGTGAAAAAAAATTGTGCAAAAAAGGCTATGACAAGTTGTTCTGAACTCTATCAAGATGACAGTGATACATCAAGACTAGATAAAACTAATACTTCATTATCGTGTGATTCTCCATCAGATGCGTCTGTCAACAGTTTGATCATGCAAACTGAGATCCCCCAAACCCCCGATGTTCTTCCCAATCCTCCAGATGTTTTACTCTCACCCCCTCCTATGATCCCATTGAATATGAGTGATATGATTTTACCCACAATGGTCAATAAAGAACATGCTCAAACCTTCGCTAAAGTGAAGCGACCAAAATCTACCATGATACCATGGCAAAATAATGCAAGGAGTTCTAAGTCAAAATTATACTCAAATTTGCCCAGTAAGGTGAGTACTGATGTTTTTGTTACCTTATTTGCTTGCAATTTTAAACCTAGAGTTAAATTCATGCAGCTGAAAGGCATGGCTAAAACCACTGACAACGCGATATCATGCGCTAACTGCAATACCACAAGGACGACACTTTGGAGACGAAGTGCAAAAGGAGATCTTGTTTGCAATGCATGTGGATTATACTTCAGACTACATGGGGTGAGAATAGTTCTATTAATGCCAAATTTTATTGTTGTGTGTAAAATATTTGTAGTATATTCTTTTACTTTATTCTCAATTAAAAGTCAAACCAATTTAGTACCAGATTTCATGGTTGAAAATATAGCAAATTTTTATTATCAGCTGCGGTTTGAGATGAAAATATTTATTCTCACCAGGCTCAAGATGGATGATTTTAAATACTAGCTGAAAAATTAATCAATTGAAATAAACAGACAATAAATAGGCAAACGAAACAAGCATTCTCTCACACTTTCGTATTCGTATGGTTCTATCAACTTAGGTTCCTCGTCCTCTTGCTATGAAGAAAAATGGATTACAAACTAGAACAAGGAAGGAGAAGAAAAATAGAAAAAGCTCGACACCTCAGCACAACAAAGCATCAAGTACAAGTCCAGGATCTCTGAAAAACAGCACACCGATTATTGGTATGTAGCAAGAGTGAATGATATTGCATCATGTTTTCTTGTTTTCGATGAAATTTCCAATATAAGTTTGGTATCCACAGCTAAAGAATTCCTTAGCTGGAAAAGAGTTGAAACGTAGGCTTTATTACAAAAGAGTGCCTTGACTTCGATCTTCAGATCAAATTAACCTTGTATGAATGCCAGTCTATTTGAAAAAGTTAGCGGCAGTGGTGTCAACCCTTTTTGTTGAATTCTACCCTTTGCCTATTCTGGAACTCCCAGAATCTCCCTCCCTATGCCTAAAACTACTTTATTTGTTCAAATGTTGATGGACTTTGCTTGTGTTATTTGCAAGTCGCACTCGCATTTTTGTGCAGTTCATAATGTGTTCATGAAGTATTATGGTAATAAAAAAAAGAAGATTAGTAATAGACAGCGAATACGAAGGAAAATACCGCCCTTGAAATGGCAAAATTGGTCCCAAGTTTGAAAACGTTGATTTGAGTTCATTCGACTTTCAACACTTTGGTCAAGAGTTTGACTTGATGGCAGCATCACATCAATATATATATAAACGTGAAAACTAGGTGATCTATCATTTCCATTGTTCACCTATTCGTTATTTTAAAATACTTCTTTTGTTTTCTATCTGCATGTGAAAAATTCTAGTATGCAATCTTTGGATTCAGTCCATATTTTCTGATTTATCTATCATTTTGGTTCCATTTGTTGAATATATGATCATTCAACTAAATGGCTGTTGAGGTTGTACAAGCAGAAAGCTTTACTCTGTATTTAATCTTGTTCAGATTCATCAGCAAGAAGAAATCTTGAAGAATTTCCATCTATGATCGCTTGGAGCAAAACTGTCCATCAACTTTATGGACTTGATACAAGTATGTCGTCACTTCCATCTACAACTGAAAGTGCATCGATGTCTTTGCCACAAACCACTTCATCTCCAGCTCTAAGTTCTGCTGTTAGTTCGACTACTTTAAATCCACATGCGGTTGTTTTGAAATCAGAAACAGATGATCAGTTTTAGGTTTGGCTGCTTTTCGATGGATGATTTTATTCACTTTTTATCCATACGTTATGTGAATATGGTATGTGCCTGCTGTGAAAATTTGCTTCAAATTTGTTTCCAATATAAGCCTATTAAAGTCCAGGCAGGGAAATTAAAGTACCTATCTTAGTCAGACTCTGATGATCAGTTTTTTTAAAATTGTCTGCACTTCCAAATAGAGATTTTTTTACTTAAAGTTCTGTGCACATCCTTTGTGTGAATACAATATTAAATATATATGTCATATGAGTCGGTGCGCTATTTACAAGCCCTTTTTAATTGAGTGAATCCAGTATTTTGGTGATACTTTATTTAGTAATATGTAAGGGGGTGATTGCTAACTGAGCTGATAGACCCATTAGGGATATCTTCATCGGAAACACTTTATTGCTATTATATTATGAAGGTAGTAGGAAATATTATTCAGCGATATAGAACTTATAAAATGTATTGGGTGTTCAGATCCTAGTTAAAGTCGTTACATTAGTCTTTTACTGATTACCGGTATAAGCAAAATATTCGAATCACGTATGGACACAAATACTACCGTTCATTTTTAGTCAATTGACACACAAACAACGATTTTAGATAAAAAGAATAGCGCTATTCGGGGAGCCTTTCACTTGGTGAAGGTTTTATTGTTAACACGCTACTTGAAATAAAAGCTCTTCCCATGCCTTAATTATTATTAGGGTTATTCGGCGATTTGAGTATTCGTGATAGCTTTTCATCACTATTTTTATTAAATGAATGCCGGTCCCTACAACGCAGCAGTTTCAAATTGATAGCGCTTGAAATATCTATTGTGCGCTAATATTTTTGTTCTTTAAAAGGATTAAAACTTCTTGAGAATGAATAGAACTTGCGCATTTTCGTTAAAATTCTTCATGTCGGGTTGTTTCTATTGAATGAATTTTCTCTCCCACTACATTAGAATTATGATGTGATTGAGAGTGAGGCAGGCGGCAGACGAATTTTTAGGATATATATAACCAATTTCACGCTTTGTGGTAATTTGTTCCGAACTTTCTAACCTCTCAATATGCGGTCATCTATCAGCACTCGCTATAATCCATGTTTCGTTAACTCCATTGGACTATGAATATTGCGTCTACTTATTTTTTATCTCTCTTTATGGATTCCGCCGTTCGTATATTCACAACATACGCTCAACCTTTTTATATTTTTTTGTCATTAATCGGGAGGATAGTAAATGTGATCAGCAGGTGTGGTAACGGTTATTACAGCAAGTTGCCGATTGACACATGTCCAGTTTGCGAGTATATAATTTAGGAATGAAATTTCGTTTTTGATGACAATTTTCATGGTGCTATTTTTGAACAAATTGTTGGATGCACCAATGACTAATCGCAACCGTGCCTTTTGGTACCCCTGCAATGGACGTGCATATTTTCAGTTGGAAACCATCGTCAGATTTTGCTGAAATTAAGGTTTTATGTACCATTCGTCACCTAAACCCAATGTGGTCAAGTTTGGCATAGGTCTCGCACAAAAATCGAACGTGTACCACGTCTGGTCAGATGTTCAAAATCTTTTACGATCCTGATTTCCACAATGCTCTACAATGTAAAGTCTACATTGATCTTGATTTCAATTAATAGCCTTCCAGATAAACTCGTTCGCAATCAGTAGTCACCCAAGCGAGATTTGGTGGGTCGGTTTCGTCGTTTCTAAATATATATATCACAAATATTATATCGCGCCCATTGTTGAAAATAAGGTAGGGTTCTTTATCGCACTGGTAGATATTTAGAGTCTGCACGCCCTTGCATATGGCTGCCACACACTATTGACCCCGCGACTGTTACGGTATCAACCCTAACAAATTCAGGCTTGCAAAAATTGACAGAATGTATTTGCCTTTCGTTGTTTCTGCATCGATCGCCAGCGTGTACACCATCGATACATTTGTGATGATATCGATAGTTACACAGCCCCAAAAAAGATCTCCTACTTCACGGCGTACGGCAATCATCAACTCGAACGCGAGTTACCTTCAACTCAGCCTGAGAAACAGGAAAATGATGAATAACAGGTCCGGTCAAAATTATAGTATCTTGCATGCAGTGTTTCTCAAACGCCTTTTTTCAGAATTTGTCTCGCGCCCCACCGCAAAAAAGACCCTACTAAAAAAGTAGGTATTAGTCACTAAAAAAGGTAGGTGTCAGTACAAAATGACTAAAAGGTAGGTATCACATGTATCATTGACTAAAAAGGTAGGTATCACATGTATCATTGACTAAAAAGGTAAGAATCACAGGTATCAGTCACTAAAAAGTTAGGCAGGTATCAGTAGAAAATGGCTCAAAAGGTGTGTATCAGTAGTAACCCCAACTCTTTAGTCATCTACTGCTGATACCTACCTTTTTAGTGACTGATACCTACTTTTTAGTAGGGTCCCCGCAAAATAACTAGCTAACAATAAGCTACAAATAACAGATTGTAAGGCGAAAGTATGTTTTATTCAAAAAACACGTTGAAAATACGTGGATGGAAAGTAAATTATTAAATAAATGAAAAGTTTTAAAAAAAGGCAAAATTTGTGGTTATTCCTATTAGTGCAGTTGTTTTTGGCTGACAAGATGTTTAATCCGAGCTGGTTCCTGGCTTTTGTCTTCACGTGTACTAGTGTGGAAAGCCCAATTCCGCATAATTACGTTGATGAAAATGATATTGATAATTAAAATTTAACCCAGAATTCGCTGAGTTACAGCTCTCTGCAATCTATCCAAAATAAGGCGGGCAAGATCAAATCTAACAAATATTTTCGATTACTTTCACGCCCCCTCGAAAAAATTGTCTACTTCTTGTGGGACTGTAAATGATTGATTGTTTGAGAACCCCTACCTTATTGATTTGTATGTATGTATGTTTATTCGTCTCGTAATAGTAATAAAAAATAAATGAACGATTATTATTATGTTAGACGGGATGCATGCACAAGACCGTACTGGCCTAAAATACAAATGTGCGGCATGCACCCTTTTTACCAAAAATAAAACAAAAAACATTAGATTAAATATGTATAGTATGGTCCCGTATATAGACAGTTGTGCAAGGTGGGGCAATGGGTCGTTTGGTGTGGTGAAAGTGGTAAGGGTGGAATATACAAAACTGTTTATACAGGAGAGTTTATAAGACAAGACAATATATATAAATAGAGACAAAACAACACCAAATAAACATATACATAACAATGAAATCAAAATTTAGGCGCAAATACAGCGCCTTTGAGTGGTGAGACCATATAGTATGAATGGGCGAAGTATAAGAGATAAATTTGCGGTTCTTATGCCTATATGGTATGCGTCACTCAAGGGCGCTAGTAGAGTCTTTGATAGAATATATCTATTTCAGCAAAAATGTGAACCATACAGATTTTGTTGAAATACTTCAGTTCGAGTGAATTCTTAGGTATTCCTGTTTTATTTATAAAATTGAAGCCGAATGTGGTAAGAATTAAAGGAAAAATAAACTTAAAGAAAAGCATTTCAACAAAGCCCGTCATGATTGCAATTTTGCCAGAAGAAAATAATTGTATAAAAGTACTATTTAATTAAGGCTAATATTTTATAAAAAGAAGCATTATTTCCATGGATTGCCCTAATTATATTAGGATCACAATAGAGTAATATAGTTTCATGGGGGGAAGGAAGGGGTGAATATATTTGATTTTGTGCTATGACCTATATGAGAAAGAAAGGGCCCAGCATGCCACTTTGACAAAGAGAACTGTTCCTATTGATGGCTGGATTCAAATTTGATGTAATTGTAATTTATTATTTTTAACCTAATTTGCTGTTTTTATTGTCTTTGTCTAATTAAGCATGATAATAAGATTAGAAGAGTGAGTTAAAATATTAATTCAGTTCATTGTTTCATATTGCATCCTGCTGAGGTTGCCTGCGGAGTTTGAAGTCGCCATCTACTGAGTGGTGATTTGATATCATTCGGAGTTTCCTGTTGGTGCTATCAGTCCAAATAGTCTCTAGTAACCGAATTCCCTAGAAAAAAATAAACTCCGAAACAGAAATATGTTTAAAACAAAGATTTTGGTTAATATGATGATAACAAATGTTGCATAAGTTTGGAACGAAATTCTGAGTTTGATTTTTTCAAGCCATTAGGTAGGGAATTCCAAGCTTTTGGTCCACATACTGCAATGGATTCTTGTGAGATACTTTTAGCGACAAATGGAATGAAAATTTTTTCCTTATTTCTGCTATTTGAATTTGGATTTGTTCGGAACAATCTGTTCAGGCTGGACGGAAGTTGCCCGTTGTAGCTAGAGAACATCATGCTGCATAGTTCAAATTTAGCTAAATCCTCAACACGTAGCAGCCTTTACTCTTTAAATAAGTCATCAACTTCTTCTCGATTTCTTCTATTGAAAACTTTTCTAATAAAACGGTTGCATACACTTTGAATTTTTTTGATAATGGACGTTTGGCGATGAACATAAGTTGAAGCGCAATATCGAATATGGCTTTCTATTAGTAAGTGGTATAGGGATATTAAACAGGATGTATTTAAATTGTTGACTATTTTCGTAATAGCACCTAGAGATGACCTTGTTTTAGATAGAATCAGGTTTGTGTGCTGTTTCCAACACAATTTGTCATCAATTATTACACCCAAAAAGCGCGTCTGGTTAACCCTTTCTATATTTATTCCATTCAATTCCAGATTTTGTTGCGGTGTTAGACACTTTTGCTTTGGCGCGCTAAATACCATATATTTAGTTTTTTCCAAATTAATAGTGAGTTTGTTCGCAGACAACCAAGCTTGAATATTTTCCAAGTCAGTGTTTGCTTTGGTCAAAAGTTCAGACAAGTCTTTGCCTCGAAGATATGGCGTTGAGTAATCAGCAAAAAGTATGATATCAGAGTGATGAAGAGAATTTGGAAAGTCGTTAATAGTGATTGAAAAACATAATGGAGCCAAAATAGAACCTTGTAAGGTGCCTACAGTCAAATTACAGTATGTGCTAGATGCTACGTCATTGTATATTACTACTTGTTTCCTTCCTGATAAGTAGCTTTTAAACCAATTATAACTCTGACCTCTAACACCAATATGGTGCAATTTGGCTAGTAATATGTCATGGTCAATACTATCAAATGCCTTGGAAAGGGTCAAGAACATACTAAGAGTATACTCGTTCTTTTCAAATCCTTCTGAAATTTTACTGACAAGTAGAGATGTTGCATGGCATGTTGAGTGATTTT